TCAACCCCCTAAAACCAACCCCAAAAACCAGACCAACCCCAAAAATCAGGACCAGCCCCAAAACCTGAACGCACCCCAAAAACCGAGCCAGCGCCAAAGCCTGAATCACCCCAAGGCCAAAGCAGCCCCAAAACTGAATCACCCCACACCTGAATCACCCCAAACTCTGAACCAACCCCAAAAATGAATCACCCCAAACCTGAACCAACCCCAAACCTCCTCCCGTTTTCCCTCTCCCCAAAAACCCGAGCCTGACTCATCGGGGCCGCCTTTGGACACCGCCGAGGCTCCAAACAGGAAACGAAGCCGAGGGAAAATTTTTGGGGAGGTCCAAAGGAGCCTAAATTGGAGCAGGTTGGGTTAATGACCCCGTTCAGGCGCTTAATGAGGTGTTTTAATTAGGGCCGGGGTTCCTGGAGTTCAGCCGCGTTCCTGAAGCGTCGCCCGGCACAAACAAGCTGCTCTGCCCAGGGATTTGGGGATTTTGGGGAGCGTTTTGGGGGTAAAGCACCCCCGGATTGATCGCAAGGAGTTGTTTTCTTTTTTTTTTTGAGGTTTTTTGGGGTGTTTTTTTTGGGGTTTGTTGGGGTTTGGGGTTATTCAGTTCCTGGTGTTCTGCACTTGTTCCTGAGCCCTGAGGGATGGGACACCCCAGGGACCCCAAATCCCCCCAGGATCCCAAATCCCCCCAGGGTCCCCAAATTCCCTCAGGTCCCCAAATCCCCCCAGGGACCCCAAATCCCCCCAGGACCCTAAATCCCCCCAGGATCCTCAAATCCCCCCGAATCCCCTCAGGGTCCCCAAATCCCCCCAGAGTCCCCAAATTCTTCCCAGGATCCCAAATCCCCCCAGGGACCCCAAATCCCCCCCAGGGCCCCCAAATCCCTCCAGGACCCCCAGATCCCTCTAGGGTCCCCAAATCCTCCCAAAGTCTGCAAATCCCCCCAGGATCCCAAATCCCCCCAGGGACCCCAAATCCCCCCAGGATCCCAAATCCCCTCAGGTCCCCAAATCACCCCAGGGTCCCCAAATCCCCTCAGGGCTCGGGCTCAGCCTCACGTGAGCTCCCGGTTCGGGTTTTTGGGGAGGATTCCGATGGTTTTGGGTTTGTCCCCAAGGAGGGGCGGTGGTGACACCCCAGAGCAGCACGATGGGGCTGGAGGGACCCGAGGGCTGCGGGAAAGGACGGGTGGGACCCCAAAATCTCCCCAAAATCCCCCAAAAGTCCCTCCAAAGCCGCCCTAAAAATCCCATAAAAAACCCTCCCAAAATCCCATAAAATCGCCCCAAATCTCCCAAAATGCTCCCAAATCCCCCCTAAATCCCCGAAAATCCCCCCTACCCGGGGGTTGCTGTGGGGAGGGGGGCTCAGGGAACCGAGGACCCCCGGCTCCAGCTCCAGCAGCACCGCGGCCACCAGGAGCTGTCCCCTGTCCCCTCCTTGTGGCCATTTCCGTCTCCCGGGATTTTTATTTCCCGGGATTTCTGTTTCCCTGGAATTCCGTTTCTCGGGACTTCTGTTTCCTTGGAATTCTATTTCCCGGGAATTCCGATTCCCGGGAATTCCTGTTTTCTTGGAATTCTGTTTTTCCTGGAATTCTGTCTCCCGGGATTTCTGTTCCCCTGGAATTCCGTTTTCCCTGGAATTTTGTCTCCCGGGATTTCTGTTTTCCAGGGATTTCTGTTCCCCTGGAATTCCGTTTTCCCTGGAATTCTGTCTCCCGGGATTTCTGTTTTCCGGAGATTTCTGTTTTCCCGGGATTTCTGTTCCCCTGGAGCCTCCCTCCCACAAATATTCCCGAATTTCGGATCTGCTGCTCCCTCTCCCGCCGCAGATCCAGGGGCAGCTCCCCAAAATTTGGGCTGTTGGATTTGCCTTTGGCACCGAACCCCCGCGGAGGTGACAGAGGCGGAACTGCCGGGATTAATTAGTTAATTAATCCTAAAATCCAATTAGGAGATTTTCATCCGGGTGCCTCCGAGATAAGAGATCCCAAAGCCGCCCGGGGCTGCCCGCGGGAGGTGCGGAGAAGCTTCCAGAACTTTCGGGAGCGGCGGTGACCCCGGGCCAGCCCCGAGCCGCCCCGGGAAATCCTTTGGGGCGGATTTGGGGCCAGGGAAAAACGGGGCTGGGCCCGAAAGGCGCCCGGGAGAGCGGCTGGAGCGGGGGAGGAGATCCCAAAAGCAGGAATGTCCCCGAGGCCGCGGGGACAGCGGCGCTGGGCTCTGCCAGGGAAGGGACAGTGCGGGGACAGCGCGGGGACAGTGCGGGGACACAGCCGGGGGACAGTGTGGGGACAGTGCGGGGACACAGCCGGCGACAGGGCGAGGAAAGCACGGGGACAGTGCGGGGATAGCGCGGGGACACAGCCGGGGACACAGCCGGGGACATCGCGGGGACATCGTGGGGACAGTGCGGGGACACAGCCGGCGACGGGGCGAGGACAGCACGGGGACATCGCGGGGACATCGTGGGGACAGCGCGGGGACACAGCTGGGGACAGTGCGGGGACATCGCGGGGACATCGTGGGGACAGTGCAGGGACACAGCCGGGGACACAGCCGGGGACATGGCGGGGACATCGTGGGACATGGCGGGGACACAGCCGGGGACACAGCCGGGGACAGTGCGGGGACAATGCAGGGACACAGCCCGGGACAACACGGGGACAGTGCGGGGACACAGCCGGGGACACAGCCGGGCTTCTCCTCGCAGCTGCCGCTCCCGGTTTGTCCCCTCTCGGTGACACCGCCGGGGCTCGGGGACCTGCGGCGGTGCCCCCGCCACCCCGGGCACCGACCCCGCAGCTGGAGCCCCGCGGTGGCACCGGGAGCGCCCCCGGAGGGAGCCGGGGGTGACCCCAAATGCCACCCTAAAGGTGGCCCCGTCCCATCCCCAGCCCTGCCTGGTGGTCCCGGCGCTCCCCGAGCGGTGCCGGAGCCCCGGCCGCGGGCACCGGGAGCCCGGAGGTTTCGGGGACCCCCGGGAGGAGCCCCCGGAGCTGCGGGAGCGAGGTCCTGCCCTCGTGTCGCTGTCGCGGGTCGCGGCCGCCACCGCGCTGCGAGGGCCGGGACTGCCCCGGGCTGCGGGGACCGGCGGTGGCGACGTGTCCCGAGCGGCGGTGACAGCGCCACCGGGGCGGGGTCACCTCCCCCGGCCCCGCACGGCCCCGGGACAGAGCCACGGCTCGGTGCCAGGACGGGACCCCCAGGATGTGACACCCCCAGGATGTGCCACCCCCAGGACAGGGACACCCCAGGACAGGGACAGGACCCCCAGGATGTGACACCCCCAGGATGTGTCACCCAGGACAGGGACAGGACCCTCCTGGGTGTGTCACCCGCAGGAGGTGCCACCCCCTGAGCAGGGACAGGATCCCCCTGGATATGTCACCCCCCTTGGATATGTCACCCCCCTGGATGTCACCCACCTGGATGTGTCACCGCCCTGGGTGTGTCACCCCTCGAGCAGGGACACGACCCCCAGGACATGTCACCCCCCGAGCAGGGACAGTACCCCCCTGGATGTGTCACCCCCCTGGATGTGTCACCCCCCTGGGTGTGTCACCCCCCGAGCCGGGACAGGACCC